GTCCATCTAATTAATGATGTTTTATGTTCACAGAGGTGACGTAAGCAGGCGATTGCACCGAGAGGCAGTTCATTTTAGGCAGTCCTGAACTCTTGACTTGGTCCTGGGTGAGGACTACGTGGCTGCCGTCGGTCAAGAGCAGTGTTGTTTGGACCGACGTAGCCAAGATTGACCAGGAAGAGTTATACGATGACAGTGGTGCGTTTGTCGTGAAGTGCTGCTAGCAAGACGCTAGAGATTTCTGCCAGGGTGTTAGCAACCCCTGTATATGATTGCTTGAGATCCCTATCAGCATGTTGATAGACCATCTGCCAGTGTGTGTATCCGGAGAGCGGAAGTGGGGTATTAGCACATCGTGTATGAAGATAAGGTGTGTGTGGACTGGCCCATGTGGAAGGTGAACTCGCCGGTGTTTGCCAATAGGTGTGAACGATGCGCACCTAGGAAGTGGATTCACCGGAATTGATGAACACTGTAAATGTTGTGTGTCCTGTGTGAAATAGGCACTTTGTACATATGGTATAATAATAGTGTAATATAATATATATAGTCTTGAATATATTGAAGGGAATTGTGTATGGCTGGCTTATTCTCCCCCCTCATTTATGCATTGCATTAGTATTTAACTCTGCCAGTTCTTAAACTTACTACCGACTTTGGGTTGGATATAAGAGGTCATAACAGCAATAACCCGGTTACTGGCCCATAGTGGCTGTAACACTCGTCAACAAAGACCAAATTTTCAATCCATGCAGCTGCCAAACGTCCTGTTTGGCTGAAAAAACACTTTACACAAGATTCGCAACTGATGACATTCGAACATTTCTCGAACAGTGCTTCGCTGACGTCTGTTTGAATAGCAACTCGGTAAATGTTTCACACAAGTACTACAAATAATTGCCTACAGAGCCTAACCCATGAGTTAATATTCACTATAAATACAAATAATCGCCAAGAGAGCCTAAACACCTAACGTACGCCTAACTATACATAGAATTTTAAATGGATAATATTAATTTATATAAGAGAACAAACAATTTTTAATATTGTTAACATTAATGAATTCGTCTTGTGAGGACGGCCGCTGCTTTAACCAGCCTAGTGTGAGGACGGGTTCGGTTGACATGCTTCACCCACGTATTGTAAACACAAATAATAGCCAGCAGAACCAAAACACCTCATTTAACCTACTCTTCGATTAGCTATATACAAAACTGTAATAGAGAATATGGTTATTTTATATCTAAGAAAATACCGTTTTTGATTACACTATGTATTGGTTTAGCACCAACTGTTGTCGGGTTACAATAGCATACTAAAAAAATATTAAGAGAATATGCAAAATAATGAAGTAGTGAAAACATACAACCATAAAATACCCATCACACAAGTTAATAAGAAAGTTGGTGATAAACCCAACTTTTAAAGAACAACCTAACTCACAGGTGAACATTACTCGTATATTAATGACTCACACAGGTGAACATCACTCGTATATTAATGACTCACACAGGTGAAGATCACTCGTAAATTAATGACTCACACAGGTGAAGATCACTCGTATATTAATGACTCACACAGGTGAAGATCACTCGTATATTAATGACTCACACAGGTGAACATTACTCGTATATTAATGACTCACACAGGTGAAGATCACTCGTATATTAATGACTCACACAGGTGAAGATCACTCGTATATTAATGACTCGCACAGGTGAACATCACTCGTATATTAATGACTCACACAGGTGAACATTACTCGTATATTAATGACTCACACAGGTGAAGATCACTCGTATATTAATGACTCACACAGGTGAACATCACTCGTATATTAATGACTCACACAGGTGAACATCACTCGTATATTAATGACTCACACAGGTGAACATTACTCGTATATTAATGACTCACACAGGTGAACATCACTCGTATATTAATGACTCACACAGGTGAACATCACTCGTATATTAATGACTCACACAGGTGAAGATCACTCGTATATTAATGACTCACACAGGTGAACATTACTCGTATATTAATGACTCACACAGGTGAAGATCACTCGTATATTAATGACTCACACAGGTGAAGATCACTCGTATATTAATGACTCACACAGGTGAAGATCACTCGTATATTAATGACTCACACAGGTGAACATTACTCGTATATTAATGACTCACACAGGTGAAGATCACTCGTATATTAATGACTCACACAGGTGAAGATCACTCGTATATTAATGACTCACACAGGTGAACATTACTCGTATATTAATGACTCACACAGGTGAAGATCACTCGTATATTAATGACTCGCACAGGTGAAGATCACTCGTAAATTAATGACTCACACAGGTGAAGATCACTCGTATATTAATGACTCACACAGGTGAAGATCACTCGTATATTAATGACTCACACAGGTGAAGATCACTCGTAAATTAATGACTCACACAGGTGAAGATCACTCGTATATTAATGACTCACACAGGTGAAGATCACTCGTATATTAATGACTCACACAGGTGAAGATCACTCGTAAATTAATGACTCACACAGGTGAAGATCACTCGTATATTAATGACTCACACAGGTGAACATTACTCGTATATTAATGACTCACACAGGTGAAGATCACTCGTATATTAATGACTCACACAGGTGAAGATCACTCGTATATTAATGACTCACACAGGTGAACATTACTCGTATATTAATGACTCACACAGGTGAAGATCACTCGTATATTAATGACTCGCACAGGTGAAGATCACTCGTAAATTAATGACTCACACAGGTGAAGATCACTCGTATATTAATGACTCACACAGGTGAAGATCACTCGTATATTAATGACTCACACAGGTGAAGATCACTCGTAAATTAATGACTCACACAGGTGAAGATCACTCGTATATTAATGACTCACACAGGTGAAGATCACTCGTATATTAATGACTCACACAGGTGAAGATCACTCGTAAATTAATGACTCACACAGGTGAAGATCACTCGTATATTAATGACTCACACAGGTGAACATCACACATATTTATGGATCTAACATGTGAGCAACAATGACGCACACGGGTGAACATCACACATATTTATGGATCTAACATGTGAGCAACAATGACGCACACGGGTGAACATCACACATATTTATGGATCTAACATGTGAGCAACAATGACGCACACGGGTGAACATCACACATATTTATGGATCTAACATGTGAGCAACAATGACGCACACGGGTGAACATCACACATATTTATGGATCTAACATGTGAGCAACAATGACGCACACGGGTGAATAACACTACTGCCTCTCACAAGTGAACAACGACACTGGCTGACAGAGGTGAGCAACAATGACGCACACTGGTGAATAACACTACTGCCTCTCACAAGTGAACAACGACACTGGCTGACAGAGGTGAACAACAATGACGCACACGGGTGAATAACACTACTGCCTCTCACAAGTGAACAACGACACTGGCTGACAGAGGTGAGCAACAATGACGCACACGGGTGAATAACACTCCTGCCTCTCACAAGTGAACAACGACACTGGCTGACAGAGGTGAGCAACAATGACGCACACGGGTGAATAACACTACTGCCTCACAAGTGAACAACGACACTGGCTGACAGAGGTGAACAACAATGACGCACACGGGTGAATAACACTACTGCCTCTCACAAGTGAACAACGACACTGGCTGACAGAGGTGAGCAACAATGACGCACACGGGTGAATAACACTACTGCCTCTCACAAGTGAACAACGACACTGGCTGACAGAGGTGAACAACAAGAACAAATAAGTCAACTACTGCAAGTGACTCGCAAAAAACATTACTTAAGCGTTATGATGCAGACAAGAGTGCATCCGTCATCATATTATGCATGTACATGACCACATGCAGCCGGTCGGCCGAGCGGACAGCACGCTGGACTTGTGATCCTGTGGTCCTGGGTTCGATCCCAGGCGCCGGCGAGAAACAATGGGCAGAGTTTCTTTCACGCTGATGCCCCTGTTACCTAGCAGTAAAATAGATACCTGGGTGTTAGTCAGCTGTCACGGGCTGCTTCCTGGGGGTGGAGGCCTGGTCGAGGACCGGGCCGCGGGGACACTAAAGAAGCCCCGAAATCATCTCAAGATAACCTATGACCATTATATAAAGCCCTCAATATTTGTAAACAAATATTTACAGAAAACCGACAAGTGAATAAAGCTTCTAGACAAAGTAAGAAAAATCAGACGTAAGCAAGATGGCTCCCTGTATGTAATGTGGTACAAGGAGCCAGGAGCATTATTTCCTGAAGACCGTAAACAGAGCAAGATGACCCGCCTTACGAAAGACATCCACACAAGCCAGGTGACCTTTATATGACAAGTCCTGAACACAAACTAAGATACACCCTTTATGACTGATAAGCTGTGAACACTTAACTAGGCGAGTCTCTATGAATGAGAGACAATACACACTGATGGTGCTGCTGTATATGAATGATACAATGGCGCCTGTCAAGGCTCAAGCAGCCGAACCGGTGAGTGATACAAAAGTATCAGAAGCTTGTATTACGAATAAGAGCATAATGTATTATATGAATGTATTTTCTGTAAATCATTGAAATATATAATGACTTTTATAGGATTCCTCTTGCATGTCATCCACCACATCATCCCCCCCCCCACACACACACACACATCACCCCCCCCCCACACACACACACACACACATCACCCCCCCCCCCACACACACACATCACCCCCCCCCCCACACACACACACACGTCACCCCCAACACCCACCCACACATCACCTCCCCAAGCACCTTCCCAGCCCTCTGCTAATCGGGAACATTTCTCCACTTGAGGATAGCTAAACTTCTGGCCGGGGGAAAGAAGGCCTTAAAGCCCAGCTTGTGCTGTGTACAGGCGGCGCAGCGATAGTCATGGCGGAAGTTGGGCGACGCTCCTACCTGGAAGTAGAGGATGATGGTCCATATCAGCCCCAGCACCACTGACGGCCGCCCGTCCACCAGGTCCGTCGGGTTGATGTTCACCAGCTTGATCTGAAGTACAAGAGTTAGGGCTGACAGTAATTTAAAAGGTCGGTGAGCAGTGGCTGGGAGGTCCCTGCTAGGGAGATCTAGGTGCTAGGGGGAGCTAGGTGCTAAGGGGAGCTAGGTGCTAGAGAGCGCTAGGTGCTAGAGAGAGCTAGGTGCTAGAGAGAGCTAGGTGCTAAGAGGAGCTTGGTGCTAGGCCCGCCCAAACACACTTTTGCCTCGCCTCCTACACCATCAACAAATCTGATTGACGTATTTATTATATTTGCTTTCCATAACTGTTGTCTAATTCGACAAGTATACTGTCAAATTCTTGTTATGCTTAATCGCTGTAGCAAGAAATCTAAACGGTCAAACAGTACTAAATTACTTGAAAATATTATCTCTACACTGTAGGTTAACAACAAATTAGTTTCATACAATTATGACATACACACACACTTATATGTGTGTACTCGTACCCTCTTGCTCTGCAGGAACTGTAGAGCAGTGTTGGCGTTGCTGAGGAAGTGGGGACGACGGAGGACGCGGCCCTTCTCAATGGGCAGCTTCTCCCCCGACAGCACCTCCAGCAGGGCCAGCAGCGCCGTCCCATCCTTCAAGTCCTCGATCAGCACATTTAGCTTCAGCGGTGGAACATGCTGAAACAAGCACAGCCACCAAGTAACATCACATCATAACGTCATACGGCATCGCCTCATACAATTAATGTTACAGAAACATAAAGAACGGGAAATATCTGAGGCATAAACAGTAAACAGTCATAAAGTTTGACTGTTTACATGATTGTAAACAGTCATTATTAAAATAATTATGCGCTGTTGTCATGATTGACAACAGCGCATAATTCAACACTTATGAACACATTCCATCCAGGATTATACGCACGTATCCGGTGTTTCAGATGTCAGGGCGAGTTAGAATGGCTCTATTTTAACTCTTAAGACAGATGAATGGAGTGAACAGGTGTAGCATGTGGACAGGTGGCAGTAATTATTGGGGCAGGACACAATGAACATGTAGTGAGATCCACTACACAGATGGCCAGCATGAGGACATCAAGGGTGAAGAAACAAATGATGACTTAAAATTTCCATTTCATTACAATTTTCGTCAAAAGCGTGACATCTTCCGGAACATACATACGGTACAGAGAACACGAGTATACTAAAATTATATGCAGGATCATGCATGTGTTGCTTTATCTCCCATCATATCCACTCTTGTTGAGTAATCCTTAAGCACAGTTTTGCTCACAGTCTTGCAGAAAATCTTGCAAAAGTCGCTAAAATCAAGAGTATTATATCCAACCAGGGAAGAGTCGTCAAATGTCTACGGATCTCCTCCCCTGGTGGAATCTCTGGAAATGAAGGAGCGATGAACGAGAAAATGTGCTGGCTGCTGAAGGAGACCATATGGAATACTTCATACCAAAGACTCGTCTACAAATCAGAGGTATTATCAGACAATATCACCCTGACAAGGTAACTGAGGAAAGGAGGATAGAAGAACAAATCGGTGAATCTGTACGCTGGTACAATATTACAATCCCAATCAATGCGGACGGATTCAAAGGAATTGATAGGGTAGATAAAGACAGGCTATTTAACACAAGGGGGCACACGCACTAGGGGACACAGGTGGAAATTGAGTGCCCAAATGAGCCATAGAAACGTTAAAAAGAATTTTTTCAGTGTCAGAGTGGTAGACAAATAGAATGCATTACGAAGTGATGTGGTGGAGGGTGACTCCATACACAGCTTCAAGTGTAGATATGATAGAGCCCAGTAGGCTCAGGAACCTGTACATTAGTTGATTGACAGTTGAGAGGCAGGACCAAAGAGCTAGAGCTCAACCCCCGCAAACACAACTAGGTGAGTACACGCATTCTGACTGGGGATATGTGGTAAATTACTCACCCGAGATAAATGTGCGTTGATCCAGTTCATGAAGGTTTTCTTCTGGACTCTCTCCTGCTCATCTGTAAAGAAAAGATAGTTCATGTAGTGACTATAGACACATCTGGCAGGTTAGTGAGGATGAGCCACTACCAGAATACTCAGATTGTAAACTCTGTGATAAACCTTTAATACATTCACTAGAACACTATATTGTTGAATGTGAAACCGTAAAGGATTTTAGACCTCCTGGCCTCTTGTACCACCAACTGTGTAACTATTTTATTGACTCAGGTGTTCTGGACGACATCCTAACAATTTATCCAAAATTTACTTGTCCATTTTAAAGAATGAAGAACAATTTTTATTTATATTACTTCTAAGCTGCATCACTTATGAACCCATCCCTGCCCTTGTGTGGCAGTGCACAATAGAAAGTTGTTTTCACATATCCACACATTAAAACATTGATTGTAACCATGATATATATATGTGCTTCAGCCTACAGTTTAGACCTATTGTCTTGTGTATGACCCTCTGTCCTGCGTGACAGTGAATACCAGCATTATCCTCACTTTAATAAGACTTTATCAAAATCCTCAGATTAGGCAAAATTGTAATTAATTTTGTCAATAAAGATGTTAATAATAATAGTAATGTAGTGTAACCTGGTCTCGGCCGCAGTCCTCCTCCACACCTACACCATCAGTAACATTGTGTTACAGCACCAGTAACATTGTGTTACACCACCAGTAACATTGTGTTACAGCACCAGTAACATTGTGTTACACCACCAGTAACATTGTGTTACAGCACCAGTAACATTGTGTTACACCACCAGTAACATTGTGTTACAGCACCAGTAACATTGTGTTACACCACCAGTAACATTGTGTTACACCACCAGTAACATTGTGTTACAGCACCAGTAACATTGTGTTACACCACCAGTAACATTGTGTTACAGCACCAGTAACATTGTGTTACACCACCAGTAACATTGTGTTACAGCACCAGTAACATTGTGTTACACCACCAGTAACATTGTGTTACACCACCAGTAACATTGTGTTACACCACCAGTAACATTGTGTTACAGCACCAGTAACATTGTGTTACACCACCAGTAACATTGTGTTACACCACCAGTAACATTGTGTTACACCACCAGTAACATTGTGTTACAGCACCAGTAACATTGTGTTACACCACCAGTAAAATTGTGTTACACCACCAGTAACATTGTGTTACACCACCAGTAACATTGTGTTACAGCACCAGTAACATTGTGTTACACCACCAGTAACATTGTGTTACACCACCAGTAACATTGTGTTACAGCACCAGTAACATTGTGTTACAGCACCAGTAACATTGTGTTACAGCACCAGTAACATTGTGTTACACCACCAGTAACATTGTGTTACACCACCAGTAACATTGTGTTACACCACCAGTAACATTGTGTTACAGCACCAGTAACATTGTGTTACACCACCAGTAACATTGTGTTACACCACCAGTAACATTGTGTTACACCACCAGTAACATTGTGTTACAGCACCAGTAACATTGTGTTACACCACCAGTAACATTGTGTTACACCACCAGTAACATTGTGTTACACCACCAGTAACATTGTGTTACACCACCAGTAACATTGTGTTACAGCACCAGTAACATTGTGTCGCATTGTGTACAACCAGGTTTCTTTGACTTACAACACATATCGTGTTGCAACAAGTGTCGTTGAGTTACAGCACGTGTCGATGAGTTACAGCACGTGTCGTTGAGTTACATCACGTGTCGTTGAGTTACAGCACGTGTCGTTGAGTTACAGCACGTGTCGTTGAGTTACAACACGTGTCGTTGAGTTACAGCACGTGTCGTTGAGTTACAGCACGTGTCGTTGAGTTACAACACGTGTCGTTGAGTTACAGCAAGTGTCGATGAGTTACAGCACGTGTCGATGAGTTACATCACGTGTCGATGAGTTACATCACGTGTCGTTGAGTTACATCACGTGTCGATGAGTTACATCACGTGTCGATGAGTTACATCACGTGTCGATGAGTTACAGCAGGTTGTCACGGATGGGGTCGTCCTGTATTTTAACGTTGTCTAGGGGAAATAAGACTCTTATTTGAGTCAGGGAGAATTCAACGTGTAGTTTCCAGCATTTATTTAAGAGTTTGGTGCATCCTTTCCAGAGCACCTTAATGGCTCTCAGGATGGTAAGTAGTTGATGTCTTATGGAGGATGTCAAACTCCCCACAACACTGCTGTAAATCTTTGGAAGTGAAATTGGCCCCACTATCTGTCTGTATTACTTTTGGTAGACCAAAAATAGTGCAAAATTTCATTATGTGCCTTCTTGAGGTTATCTTGAGATGATTTCGGGGCTTTTAGTGTCCCCGCGGCCCGGTCCTCGACCAGGCCTCCACCCCCAGGAAGCAGCTCGTGACAGCTGACTAACACCCAGGTACCTATTTTACTGCTAGGTAACAGGAGAGGTAGCCTTACTACCACTTTCGTTGTAGCATTTCTCACAGGGAATGCCTCAGGAAAGCGTGTAGTTTGACACATCATGGTGATGATATACATATTACCACTCTTGGTTCTAGGCAATGGGCCTACTACATCAACAATAATATGGGTAAAGGGTTCCTTAGCCACCACAATTGGCTGTAAAGGAGCTTTTGGTATTACCTGGTTTAGTTTGCCAGTTTTTATACATACTGGACATTCATTACAATACTGGATGACATCTTTCCTTAATCCAGGCCAGGTAAAGTACTTGCTTATTTTATTATATGTTTTAGCAATACCCTGATGACCGCCTATTGGTGAATCATGGGCTACACTTAGCACTTTTTCTCTATAACCCCTCGGTAGGACTACTTGGTTAACTACCTCCCAAGTGTGTGACACAGGTGAGCTCCAAGGTCTCCACTTCCGCATCAACACCTCTTTAGTGTAGTAATAAGTCATAGCCTCCGATTCTGCTTCTAGTTCAGTTACTGCCTTATTATGCAAGTCAGTCAACGTAGGATCAGTTCTTTGCTCATGAATAAAATTTGATTTTGGTCTCAAGTCTGAAGAGCCAGATGTGGTAACTGGACTACACTCTCCCCTACCCCTTTTCCTAGGTGGTTTGGTGGAGGTGCTCCCCATCCTGTTCCCATCTTCTTCTTCCAACTTGGCCATAAATGTGTCACAAAGAACCACTTCTCTGTTTGACCTTTTAACCTCCATTATTGTCTCCTGACTTGCATTAATGGAAGGTTGTGATAATTGAGACTCTGATTTTGACTGGGTCACGGCACATGCTGGGTACATTACCTTGTGCTCAGGATCTGTCCGTGCCCTAGTCACCTCTGGCTTAGTTAGCATTATTGGGTGCTCATCTCTCTTAACTCGATTACCAGCAAGATCATTCCCCACAATTAGATCAACGCCAGCAACTGGTAATTTACGCCTAACATCTACTAAAGTTTTGCCTTTAATGAAATCACACTTAAGGTTTACTTCCCTCAAGAGTACAGTCTGTACACCTCCAGTGATTCCCTGTATAATCATTACCTCGCCAGTCACTGTAGACTGTATATATTGTAACACACTCTCTAATAGTGAAGATTGGGATGCTCCTGTATTACTCAAAATGTTAACATCATGCCACAAACCACTTGCACACTTTAATTTCCCATTTGATATAAACTCTCCAAAATGATTTATAGAAAGTGCTTTTTTCCCCCCATCATTTTTGCTACACCTTTGGTTTTCCTCCCCACACACACTGTGAGTGCCTTAGGCCTCTTTCCTGGGTGGAGAAACCAACAACTCTTAACAACATGACTACTTCTACTCCTACTGCCTACTTCTATGGCAGTAGGAACACTGTGTCAACTCCGGGTGAGGCTTATTACTGGTGTCATCCTCTCTGGGGTTCACATTACTCCCTTCACCACCTGGCACCTTTGAAAAAGTGTTTCCTTGACTGGTGCTGGTGACACAGGCTGCCAGTGACTGGTGCTGGTGACACAGGCTGCCAGTGACTGGTGCTGGTGACACAGGCTGCCAGTGACTGGTGCTGGTGACACAGGCTGCCAGTGACTGGTGCTGGTGACACAGGCTGCCAGTGACTGGTGCTGGTGACACAGGCTGCCAGTGACTGGTGCTGGTGACACAGGCTGCCAGTGACTGGTGCTGGTGACACAGGCTGCCAGTGACTGGTGCTGGTGACACAGGCTGCCAGTGACTGGTGCTGGTGACACAGGCTGCCACACTCCCCGCAGTAAACAACCTACACTCGCCCAACACATATATCAAAGTCAGCACATGATGTATCTCTTCCTTTGTGATACATATCTTTACTCCCTGCACATTATATATTTAATACCAGTTTCAAGGGATGAAGCTTCTCTGCGTCATGATCAATAATTATGAGAGATAAATTTGTATCAAAGTAATATATAATTCGTTTTGTCTGGGACAGGAAACGTACGTACGTGCGTGTGTGTGTGTGTGTGTGTGTGTGTGTGTGTGTGTGTGTGTGTGTGTGTGTGTGTGTGTGTGTGTGTGTGTGTGTGTGTGTGTATCTCGTCGCATATGGCTGCATATTCCGTGTTGATTATTCTCATGTTTAGGGCTTCCATCCCTCTATCTAGTACTCTTACATCTTGGTGTAACTGTCGGAGGAGTGAGTCCCGAGGTGGCCTCACCCTCCCTCCCTCACCGTTCATGGCACATTCCCGCCTCCGTCTCATCTTCCTCACTTGTCACCACCTTGTCCTCATACACCAGCCTGGGGCGCTGACTCACCACGCCCTCTCCCCTCCCTCCCCACCTCCCACGTGCCCCTACACCCCCTACCCTCACAGGTAGGGGGTATAAAGTCTACAGGGTAGGCATCCCTGTAACCCCCCCATCCCCCCATTCCACACCCCTCCAGCTCCTGGCGTTAGGGAAGACACAAGAGCAGCCACTGACACACACAGGCCAAAAAGCACGAGTATAATGTAAAATTTGAAAATGTAATAATTTATTACGAAACGCGTTCAAGTGTCGCGTCAGACTATAATTA